CCTGGTACTTCTCCAGCTTCTCATGCTCCTTCTTCCTGATGTTGCCGTCACTTGGCACCGCTTCCTCTATCACAACCGCTGTCTTCTGGTCCTTGTCTACTACCACGATGTCTGGTTGATTGGCCAGTACCTGCCTGTCTCTCTGGATCTGGAAGTCCCACAAGATCTCAGCCCTGTTATTCTCCACGACCTTCTGTGGACTCTCCCAGCTGGATGAGGGAGGGTCCAGAGCTAGATAATTGTGTACAGGAACATCTGTACAGATGTTCCTGTACACAATGCCAGCTACTGGGTTGTGTTGTTCAGTACATGCTGTTCCTGCCTGCATCTTACACCCTGCCACTATGTACTGGACTGACTCTGAGGCCTCTCTGCACAGTCTGCACCTGGGTCCTGTCTAGTATATACTGGATCCTGTCTGTATATATTTTCACCTGGGAGTCGCTTGGTAGAATCACTCAGGAAGAAAAGGGGGTTTCCCAGACCAAAAACTAAGAACTTTTTATTGCTTGACCAGAATAGCACTTAATTGGAACAGAAGGGAAAAGTTTAGAACAGTGTTTCCCAAACTTAGCAAGTTTAAGATGGGTGGACTTCATGGTGACTGGGGAATTCTGGGAGTTAAGTCCATACATCTTAAAGTTGCCAAGTTTGAGAAACACTGGTTTAGTTCTTTTGAATGAGTGCACACCAGAGACTGATATAGCTTCTGAAATACCTGTCTCACTTGAACAGGACAAGTTTAGCTAGAACCTGGGTCTCCTCACCACTACCCTACCCTACCCTACCCTACCGGCTCCTGGCCTGAGAAGGAAGACCAGGCCATGGGCCCCTGAGGGACTGTTGTGGGAGAGGACTAGAACATGGGTCTCCCCATCTGTGCATCTTCACCACTGAACCTGACCACTAACCCTAACCTGAAGGGCTTTCAAATGAATCTGAACTACAATTTAGTTAGGATCAATTTCTCTGTCCTTCCAGGCGCATCCCCTTCCCAGATGTGATGGGTCCTGAAATTACAAGCAGGAAACTTTTCCTAGCTATTAAAAGCATGGCTCTCCTTTTGTTCATTCCGTTACTCCCGTCAGAAGGAAATTCATGCTACAGGTCCATGTTTCTAAAAGGAGGAGGCCCTTTCTCATATTCATAACTGCCAAGTTATGAGACAGCATCTGCTGTCAATCTTCCATACTCTTTCACTCCATTTTTCACTGTGTCACGGAAACAGGGTGACATTCTCACCGTCTGCAGAAAACAGATGTTCTCCCGCAAGGAGCCAACGCATCCACAGAAAGTGATAAAGAACATCAGGACACCAATGATCATGAGCAAGATGGCCGGATCCACAGCAAGGCAAGCCATGGCTGCTTCTATGTAGGAAATGAAATGCAGAGAAACGTGTTCATCCACTTGTATAACAGCTTTTGTCTATTGACCAAGGTTTACGGACCATACATCCAAATCATAACGTGGAGTCCTTGGTGGTCTCTGAGCTGAGTTGTTTGCTTGCAGACATTGGATGACCCAACTAGGTAGTATCATCAGTGCTGCACTGATGTTACCTAGTTGGGTCATGAAACGTCTGCAAGCAAACAACCCAGCTCAGAGACCACCAAGAACTCCACAGTTCAACCCTGAGCTATAGATGTTCTCTTCTATTGAAAACATAACGCTTTGTGCTCTCTTTCACTTAAACCAAGGATCGTGAACCCATGGTCTTTTAGATACTGCAGAACTAGAGATTCCAGAAGCACCAACCAATGGTGCCAATGACAAAGAACGCTGAGAGTTGTAGCTCAAGAGCATCTGCAGAACTGCAGATTGTCCACCCCTGATTTAAGCCCTGGGATGCCTACAGCCTAAACCCCTCCTACAGGGATTCATTGTGGGATTTTTCAGGAACCTTCTCTCCCCAGCCCCCAGCCAACAACTTCTCCAATGCCAAATGCAGTCCTGTCTCATTTTTGGAGAATTATCTTGCTAATGGACAAATAGAGTTCCGAATTTATTTTCTTCTGGGTTGAGCAGCATGCAAGCAACCCCCTGTAAAATAGAGGCTTCTGAGTGTGGAAAGCTCTAAACGTAGGGCAGCTCTTCTAATGTTATGAGCTTGGAGCAAAAGGCTTTTCAAAGCCATGTGAAATGTAAAACAA